CAGTGGATTTTTTTGACCCTACTGCACGGTGCAGAAATTTTTTGAGTAAAATAAAGTCTACGTTTTCTTATTAGGCCTTTATATGGAAAATCCTCAATTTTGAACTTTTTTCGTATCTTGATGCACGGTGCAATTCAATTTTTTTAAAAATGCACTGTGCAAAAACAAAAAATTTTATACTCTCAAAAAATGTTCAATTCCTCTATCCTGGAAATCTCTCTGTCCATAAACAAGGTGTTTATGTATGAAATATTTTGACCAGTACCTTGTTTATCGCTCTCCGATTTCTCTGCCCGTATTAGTCGAGATGGCCCAAAAAAATGGGCATTTCGGCTGTTTTGGTGGCCTCGGGGTAAATAAATAACAATATGCGTTATTTTGGAAAGGAAATGCTCTCGGACTGGCAGACGGCGACTGAATTATTCAAAGGTTAAAAGCTGGGTGGTATTCCGGAAAAACGCGTTTTATTTTGAAAAAAGTAGGTTTTTTGGGGAAATTGTAATAGTAGTTGTATTGATGATGACTAAAGCAATGTTCGTATCTCATTGTAGTGTGAAGTAGTGAGTCTAAGGTTGCTACAATGTCAAACAAAAAATAATTTATAGTCGCTTCCGGAATAAAATCTTGATCTAAGCTCAAATGCTGAGCAATTATATTATACTTGACATCAGATACAAAGTTGATGTAAAATACATGATGCAACATTTGTAATCATTATAGTTTTTGCCCTACATGCTAAATGAGACCTTGTGGAATATTGCGCCGCCTCAGGCTTCCTCCGTTAACCCATTAAGTTCCAAACTTTGCCCTTTGTATAAAAAATCACTACTTTTTGACGAAAACAGTATCCCATATGCATTTGTTTGGCGTTTCCTGCCAACAATGAGCCAATACTTTAATACTGGGTCAAATAGAGGTTAGTTTCTCATAGATGAGCGCTCAACTACTGGCTTTGCGTACTTTTAGACATTCGAATTTCCGTTGGCCAGAAAAAGAAGGCCAATAAAATAGGACAAAAAACATTCGAAAACTTTTTTTCCGCTCAAAAACAAATTCTTGTAAGTTATTTTTGCAACGAATTTTTGTTAGAAGAAAGAGATTTTTACACTTTTTTGTCAAAAATTCACAATTTCTTTTTTTCAACTTGAAAATTGGAGAAAAGTTTGAATCTGTCGTTTTCCCTCGGGCCATTTGCGTCATTTGATTGGGAATACCGGGTGTAGTTGCTATGGTGCCCGCAGGCTTCATTAATTTTCATTTTATAGTTATGCCCATTACCCCATTTGGAATACCGATAATTCCACGGTGTCTGGCCAGGAAGTGACTAACCAAAAAAGCTGACAAATTTTTAGGAATTGTTTTTGTTTGGGAAAATCATTTTTTATCATTTTTTTGGGATTTAAAAATTTGAAAAAAATTGGTAAGGGGGGACCAAGGCCAAAATTTTGGAAATAAAAAATTTCTCTCGCCGGCTCTCCTCATTTTGCCTGCTCTCTCGTAAATTTTTTTCTGAATATCTCGGCTTCCCTTGCAAAGAGGAAGTCCAAGTTTTTCGGGAATTAAAACATGTCCAGACAGAGAAAGCGTGCCAAATTTGAAGAAAATCTGAGATTCTCGCCTCAGGCGTTGTCGGATATTCTCAGAAAAATGTCCAATTTTTCGCTTCAAAAGATTTATTCGCCGTCTTAAATTTCTCAATTGTAGCGTTACACCTATTCTGAATACAATCCAAATTACATATCAAAGTCATTTGACTTTATTTTACGATTCCCTTTCGAAATGAACTCTAAACTCTCAATTACTAAAACGAATTGGGCGTTTTACTTGTTCACTTGTCACATTTGAGGATTATCTTCCAAATCCGAGGGGTTTAATTTTCGACAAACACATTTAGCACATCATTTTGGGCAAAGGAACGGGCATAAGTGATGAATAATATAATTTTTTGAGGGAAAAACAGTCTTGCCAATGGAAATAGGGTAAAATACGAACAGCTTATCTGTTTTTAGCACTTTTAGAGAACTTTTTCTTTTTGATAAAAGGCCAAAAATATATTTGATCGATGATTTCGAACTGATCTTGTTTACGTTCGCCCTAAAACGTGATTTTCAACCTTGTTTTTGCAAAAAAAAGACCTATAATTTTATCTCACGACACTCCCTCGGGGCAAACCTGAAAGTTCTGACAGCTATTTTGAGGGTCATTGCAGTTGAGTAAAGGTTAATTTTTTTGTTGAAAACGGTATTTTAGGATAACAAAAGGTCCAAAAAATGATGTGGAATGATAGATGACCTCATTCAAAAAATTTTGTGTGCAAAAAAGGCAATAGATCGATTTTAGGTCATGTTTTAGCAAGAAAATTAACAAAGCTATCATTCTTTATCGTCATCATGACATTTCGTAAAGAAATTCGCAATTTCCGCTCACAAAATTGGACAATTATACAAGTTTTGCAAGGTATTATGTAATTTCCTATCGTATTCTATCTATTTCTATACAATACCAATTATTTTCAGTCGTCAAATGAAAGGCCGTAATTTTTCGATATTACTATCGGCAGTAATACAAATTTTCTCAAAATTTACAAGTTGTATCTGCCATTAATTGCTCCCACTATACTTTATACGAGCCAACACTTTCCCTTTCTCATATCCGCTGTTTTGTTGCTACATGAAACTCTCCATTTCCCTCCTCCCATACCCCCAAATTTCTCCCATTTTTCGTATCATTCCCCCGCTCCGTAACCAATGTAATATCAATCATAATGACGGGGAGTAGAATTATAGATCTCCCCCCGTCCATTCACTGTATACTAATTTATTTCCGAAAGAGCGAAAAATAATTTTCCCTCGCGGAAAAAAAGGGGGGAGAAAAGAGGTGCCATTCCGCGTTTACTCGCTCTGTTTGCACCCTCTCCTCCGCCTTCGTCTGCCCTCAACTGCATGGTCAAGGGCCGTATTCGAATATGTGCTTGCAAGTGTGTTTGATTGCCGAGCTTCGAGCGAGATTTTCGGGACAAACGAGGGATTCTAAATGGGATTCGCATCAACTTTTGCTTACTTTTGCTAATTTTTCGAAGTTCAGCCTGTTTTTTCAAAATGATACTGAAAATTTTTGGATTTCTGAAGACCTTAGGGTCTGTTCTAAAGTTCTACATTAAAATATTTACATTTTAATTTTCAAAATCTATGAAAATTAAGGTTTTATACAGCTGGTCTCTAGTACAATATATCAACTTTGGGTAAGATGACTTTGTCATTTGCTGAGGATTTAACTAGCAAATACATAGTAAGACTTGTTAGCATCATTTTCATACTTAATTTCCCCTCAAAACTATTCCAAAATTGGTCTTTTACAATCAAATGACCTAGTATAATATAACAAAATGACCCATAACTTTTTGAAAACTTATTTTTTGGCTAAATTGAAGTCAGTAGGTACTCAATGTGGCTCAAATTTAGCTTTACAAAACTTAGCACCTAAGGGTTTTTTTGTACTAAACTGCCTGCACAGTGCAAAGTCGAAACAAATAAATCGAAGTCAGATGACTCAAAAAACATAAAACGACAGCAGGGATCGTCTGCAGCGTTCCGGTTTTTGGTAAATAGTACAGCGAACCAGACTGTAAATGATTAAAAATCGTAGGGTGCGCTGGGGGCGAAGCTGTGAGAGGAGGTGTCAAATTGAGGGAGTGCCCGCTGACAGGTGAGGTCAGGCTAGTATGGGTTTTGAAATGGGTAAAGAGAAGGGTTTCGCGGTAATAAGCATCTGGACGGAGAGGGTTTCTCATTGTTTTGGCTTTGAAAATGAGAAAATTTATATTATACTTGATATAAGTAATATCTCTGGAAAAAATAGCGCAACACATTGGTATAATAGATAATTAAAGTCGTAGTTAAACCAATTGGGGCGTATTTTACCCAATTATTTTCCTTTTCCGGCATTTCTAATCAATTTGGTGACTAAAGTGACACTTGACCCATTCTTATCACCATGGGTCAAGTCTTGCACCTAAATCCAATTTGCAATGGAAACCGAACGTTCGGTGCAAAAACATGGCCATGCATGGCCTCCTCCGGCTGCTGGCGAGTGCAGTCAATATTCGCCTTGAATTAAGGTCGTTCCGAGGGCAGATCTTTAGTTCGCGGTCTTGTAAAGGTCACATTTTGCGGAGTTCCCCAAAAATTTCAACCAATTTCCCCTTTCCGGAACGCCTACCACCCGTTACCGAGTGTTTTCCCTTATTTTATCACGTTTCTATCAGAACGTCAACTTTTGAGGGGTTTATTTGGGGAAAATGAAGAAAAATTGTGTTATCCATGAGGACGGCGAATTTCGAGCCTGCCCAAAAATGAGTGGGAGAGATTGCGGTGTCTCCAGACGACAGGCTCGCCACATATTTGGCTTCACAGACGCTAGGAGCTTGCGGATTTCCAGGAATTCGGGAAAAATAGGGAAATCTTGGAACTTCCCCGGATCTTTTGTTTTCTTGATGTTTGTCTGGAGTTTTGGGCTCGATTTTAACTTCAGACATTCTATTCTGAGTCTTTTGCGAGATAATTTACATAATTACGGGCTATTTTTGCAAGCCTTCATCAAGATTTTTTTTATTTCCCTCATGGATTGAGTTTTTTTTGTAATTTCTAAGTGTTTTCACGCATTTCAATGGTCTAAACTTTGTTCTTTCATTAAAAATACAAAATATAAACCAAAGTAAACATCGAAATTTTCGAAATTTTTTCATGATGTATATTCCCCTAGGCGAGCTTCAAATTTTGATGTTTCAATGAGAAAATTTTGCTTGTTTTGCAAGTCTTTACGCGTTTATCATCGTTTAACGGCTCTATCAGCTGTTGGGGCAAAGGGCGCCTCGAAGCGAGGAGAAAGAGAGACCCCGCTTCGAAGGCTCTAGTGTAAGGTCAGATCGAGCGCGACCCATTTTTCTCCGCTGTTTTTTTTGTTTCGTTGATTACTTCCTAGTCTATACGAGATATTTTTAGATGGATCCGACGGTTGAGGTGATCTTGGGACGGCCAGCGGTTGAGGATTCCACGGATGAAAGTTACGGAGAATTTATCTTGTTGGGGTATGTTTTCTTGATCTTTTCATTGAAATTTGTGGTTTTTAGGGAATGAATTATGTGTGATTAGGTTGTGTATTTCATAAACCGACTATTCCAATCAAATTAAAACGAAATTTCATCTATTTCCAAAGAGAACAAGTTTCGGATCAAGAACATCAAATTTGCGGCTAAAATAAGGTTTTCTTGAAAAAGTTTTATTTTAAACGAGGTTAACCCTGTTCTCTGGCGATTGTACCAAGATGTACTCTTCAATACTAATTCAGTTTCCGGTCAACAATATTTAGTTTGGCCCAAGTTTTTGAATGAAAGCCTCATTTTATTCATGACGTTTTTATGGATTGTTGTTTTTGTTCCAAACTCGCATGTGACCAGGTGTTCTTGCATCATGTTTTTGTTTACAATTTGTGCGCATTCGATCTGTCGCAGGTTTCGTAATTTATAGCCATTAACACCATGTATGGTATACCTGATAAGGGTGCAAAAAAATTCGTTCTTCGGCCTCACATGACCCGGCGAATACAAATAACATTCCACTGGTCACGTTATTCACAAGGGCAGTTAAAGTTCTGGCAAAAACTAGACAGAAAGACTTTGATAAGGAGATAAACTGATAAGAAAATCGAAAGTTCGATGTGTTTTGGAAAACAATTTATGAGCTTTTTGTGTTATAAAGCTGGGAACTGAAATTTGAAAGCTAATTAAAAAAAGATTAAGATATTTTATCAAGAATCCTCAATTCACGACCTTATTTTAGGTACAATGGCCCACCAGACAGTGCAAGTCTCCGATGCTCCACAAACGGCCGTAAACACCGCTCCAAAATGACCTTCCGAGTCCGTGAACAGGCCAATGGAATAAAGAAAGCAGGCATCTCGGAAACAAAGCAGAACCCACTTCAGAATGACGTGAGTTTCTATTCTCCTTTCCTTTTCTTCAAATTTTAGGTTAATCAAACTGATTTTGTCTTCTTCCAGGCGGTAAAAGACTCATCTAAGCACGTGGTGTCCTACTTGTATTATAAAGGTCATGCAGTGCTTGTGGAGTATGAAATTGATCAAGCCAAGGACATGTTCCAGGTAAAAATTGATATTATACTAGCTATCAAAAACGGCATCGTGAAAGACAAACAGATATTAACAAAATCGATTTCAGATTGGTCGCTCATCCGAACCACAGATTGATTTTACCATTGTGGACACTTGGCTAGCCGCCTCCAGCCCAGGGTCGGTCCTCAGTCCTCTTGGACATCATCGAAGTCAGAAAGTGAAAAGCGTCAATGCCAAAGGAGAGAAACAAGTATCGTCGACGATCTCTCGCTACGCTTGCAGAATCCTGGCCGATCGAGAAGAGCCCAACAAATGTTACGTTTACGCGGCTGGCTTTGACACCTCAAGGAACATCTTTTTGGGGGTAAGTTGATGGGTAAAGTGAGTTATTAGTGTATTTTCCAGATTATTTTGAAATGATCTGGCGTAGTTATTAGTTGAGCGGGATTTTGGTAAAGGTTCTTTCTAAATTTCGAGAGGATTTTACCATTTTCTTAAGAGTTATATCAAAATCTTTACGGTTCATGTCTAGAGCAATAGAATTTTCTTGAAAACTTTTAATATTCCTCTAATTTTAGGAGAAAGCGACCAAGTGGCAAAAGAAGAATGGAGAATTCGATGGCCTCACCACCAATGGTGTCTTAATTTTACACCCAAACCGCAGTGCTGACACCGAAAATCAGGAGATGTACATCTGGAGAGAGGTCTCTGTAGATGGAGAAATCTACACTCTCAGAGAGACCAGGTCATCTACAAAGCGAGGGGACCTCGTTCCGGACGAGACTAACCAACTGCAAGACGGAACTCTGATTGATTTATGTGGAGCAACACTTCTTTGGAGATCAGCTGAAGGTCTAAAACAAAGCCCATCAACGGCCGAGTTGGAACGACGGTTGGATGAGTTGAATGCAGGTGAGAGTTTGAAGATTTTTCTTGATGTTTAGGTTGATTAGAAGTGGAGTGGATGGTATTTTTTGAAGGTCGAATACTAAAAGTTATTAGAGAAGCACTTGACACATAGAGTCAAGTGTGGCACTGGTGTAAATCAGGTGGTTAGAAGCAGGGGTGGTCAGTGGGCCGGGCCGGCCCGTCACGGGCCGGCCCGGCCCGGCCCAAACGGGCCGGCCGGGCTCAAAAATGGAAAATTACAAACGGGCCGGGCCCGTCACGGGCCGGGCCGCGGGCCTGGGGTTTTTCCGGCCCGGCCCGTCTAAATTACAATGCCAAACCGTTGGCATTCATTGTTTTCGCGCCGGGAAAATTAATTGATGTTGTTATAGTTGCTGTTTCTCAAGTTCTAAAACGTTTACAAGTCTATAGTTCCATTATAAAACCACAAAACTATCACATTGATCCTTTACTAGCTATATCAACGCCTTTTTTGCCTAAGTTTAGATCCCAAGCTTGGGCGCAGTTCGCAGAACCCTCTATAAACGGGCCTGCACGGGCCGGGCCGGGCCGGGCCAGGCCCGTCACGGGCCGGGCCTGGAAAAAGACTAGACGGGCCGGGCCGGTAATTAGACGGGCCGGGCCGCGGGCCGAAAATCGGAAAAATAGGGTCCGCTGACCACCCCTGGTTAGAAGAAGGATGTCTGGTTTATTGCTCTCTAATTTACGGTTAAGAGACTTTTACAGCATCTTCGTCAAGTTTTGTTGAAAGATTTATTGGTAGTTGTATTATCTATGATTTTTTTTGAGAAAATTTATTTATTTTTCTTTTAATTTTAGGTAAACCACAATGCCCCGTCAACCTCAATACGTTGATAATTCCTCGGAAACGCACGACGAAGAACAGCAACAACTCCAAACAGCCATATGTCTACCTGAGATGCGGCCATGTACAAGGTAAACACAATTGGGGCGTTACGCAGACTGGAGCCTCGGAATGCGCATTTAAATGCCCGATTTGTATGCTGGAGAGCGACGCCATCCTTCAGCTGACAATGGGAATGGAGTCAGCTTTCCATTTGGACTCGGATTCATTGGATTACGCCTTCAATCCGTGTGGTCATGTGGCGAGCAAAGCTACTGTTAGGTAAGTAATTTTATGGTTGTTTTTTGATGTTTAGGAAGGAGAACGAAGGTCAGAGAAGGTCTAAATATGGGGTTGGAGAAAGTTGAAAAGTGTTTTTTTGGAATCTTCGGCGGTTTTTAGCTTTTTGGAGGCAGTTCTGACCTTGTTTTAGACGAATTGTCGTTGTTTCTTGGCTTTAGAAAGAGGATAAATTTAGGAAGAGGTTTTCTCTTTAGAGATTGTAATTTCTATGCTTTTGAGGCCATTTGGACGAAATCTCGGCTTTGTTTTAGGCATCTTATTATTATATTATACTTGATGATTAACCGTCGATTTTTTTAGCTATTGGTCCCGAATCCCCCTGCCTCATGGAACGAACAGCTTCTACCCGGTGTGCCCCTTCTGCACCACCCTCTTGGACATGAAAAAACCACACGTTAGACTGATCTTCCAGGATCATTGCTACGATACCTAAATTACCCTCCGCTGGTCGAAAATAACCGGTCAAATTTTGGCATTCTTTCAATTTATGAGTTTAATACATTGTTTGGTATCTTTGTGAGTTATCCTGTACATGTTCTCGTTCCTTGTCTGTCCTCTCCGATTATTCCATTGTCTTTTTATTTCCACCGAAAGTGATCTCTCTCTACTGTGATTTATTTTCGAATTGGGATCTAGAGGCGTTTTAGTGGGGTCTCGACGTCTAACAATTAATTTTTGTTATTGTAGCCGGCTATAGCCAATTTCCTGCCGAGTGGAACAGTTGTCACAAAAGGCCATTTTGGGTCAAGTGTTTCTCACATCAGAAAATGGCTTTTTTGAAGCATCCAGAACAATTAATGTGGTGTAAGGCGTCTATTCCATACTATTTCTCCCTCTAATACTCGATATTGTACTTGACTCACAGTCAACTCTTCCCCAGAAACACTTATATGGGTTACTGTATTTTTAACCATCTTTTTGATTCATGATTTATTTCCCAACACTCCTCCTTGTTGATTAACCACATTTTCTGTCTTTTATTCGCATATCTAACCCGTTTTTTTCAATCTTCTAACCTTTTGATTATCTATCAGTACTTGTAAGTATTTAAAATTGCTTGTGGAATGAAATTCTGAACTGAAAATAAATAATTTCGTGACTTGTGAGGGATGAGAGAGCTGATTGATAAGAATACAAGTTGATTCGACTGATAAGTACTTGAAAAGCGGTTTTTTTCGATGGTTTAATCAGATCTAAAGGGCTTTTTTGAATTTTTTGGGGTTTTCAAAAAAATCGTGGGGAAATTGTGAGAATTCGATATGAGTAAAGTGGAAGGAAGGTGTTAGCTATAATTTGGTTATTTTTTGGTTGGAATTGGAACCGATTTTTGGTAGGAATTTTGAGATTTTTTGCGATTTTGATCTAAAATCGTCAAGTTTTATGAACTTTTTTACGTTTTGGTCTGTAAAATGTTTGAAATGGACCAAATAAAAGTCTAGTTTGGTACGTGGATTCTTATTTGATGCGTATTTTGACAAGAACCGAAAAAATTAAAATTTATGTTTTTTTTTGCTTTTCATATTTTTCTCTATTTCCAGCAATGAGAATCATCGATTCGTTGGAGACAGTGATCCGTCTCATCCCCGAGATCCAATCCATCCTGATTGTGGACCGTGACGGTGTTCCGGTGGCCGGTGCCGGAGAAGAGGCGCGAAATCGGAGCCAACTCACTTCCGCCTACGCCACAGCCCTGGAACAGGCCAACCGGCTGAATATCGGCGAACAGGAAAGCTGGGTGTTCCAATACGAAGCCAGCCAACTGGTCGTCCTGCACTCCAATCCATTCGCCATCTTCATTTTGGCCACTCCAAATGCGAACACGGGACTTTTGCGACAGCTGAAAGATCGACTCCAACCCATCCTAAAGGAGTGCCAGGAGACGATCAACGAAGCTCAGGCTCCTCAAGCGTGCTAAGGAAGAGGTTTTGAGGCCTTCAGAGTCAAACGGAACTATATTATTGCCTTTTTGTCCATCCTCGAATATTACTTTTTATGATTTACAAAATTGCCTTAAAGTTGTAAAAGAATTTAGAAAGTAGTACAAAGATATGTCTTAAGTATTGTAAACGTCTTTAATAAGGTCTATTTTTGGAATCTGATCTTCTGAGGATTCTGTAATTTGAGGGTTTTCGAAAATTTTGAGAAACTCAATTTTTTTCAATTTAATTTGTAAGAATTTGCATATCTGATAATTTTCTTTGAAGGCTTTGATAATTCAAAGTGCTTTTCTTTGTTTTTCGTTGTTAATTATTAAAAGTTATCTTATTGTTCGATATTTTTTGGATTATTTTTGGACTGTTCCTGAAAAATTTAGGCCTTTTTCGTGCTACAAAAATTACAGAGGGTCTCATTGCACGTACAGTGCGCGCCAAAATGATAGAGCCACTCAGTTTTTCTGGATTTATTCTTTTATGGTTAGGTGGGCCTAGCCGGCATAATGCATATATGCAATAACATCATAGAGATTCACTACGGCCACCATAACTTAGGACTAGCCGGGCGCCCAATCCAAAAAAAAATCAAAAATTCGGACCTTCCCCCTCGGTCGACGCGTCAAAATGATAGAGCCACCGGATTTTTCTCCTCGGTGGTGGCAGGCGGGGATCTATTGGTACTGTAGTCTGTTAATATTACTACTGCTATTCACTGCTGATGTGAAAAGGTTACTGTAACTACCGGTCATACGGTAGCTTTTGGCAAATTTAGAAAATCTTCCAAATTCAGGGTAAAATTGACCGGAAATAAATTTTTCGACGGTTGTATCCGGGTGGAAATACCTTCAAAACATATTAGAAGGCCTATATTTTCTAACAGTAATCAATTTCCGTCGAACTCACATCGACCACAAACAAAGAATGATATTATGTTACTTTAGTAGATGGACAGATTCTATAATAATGTCTATTGCTTATGTATGAGTCTGAGAAGCGGCCCCAGAACTTGTGGTACAATTGCAAGAGGACCATAGATTACTATAACAGGACCGAATACAATAATTCCTTTATTCAAATTGCTAGCGGTATTATGAAGTTTACCAAAGTTATACCCGAAAAAACGATATTTTGGTGGCATGACTAGCGTCAGAATATGATGGCTTCGGGTTTTGAAATGACGAGTGCGGATCTTTTTGTGCGTAACGTAGCATGATTAACTCAACAATAACGTAATGATAAACAACTACAGAGAAACTTTGGTGTAGTCATCTAGAGAACCAGAATTGCTTCTCTTGTGGCATTATTCCTAGGGTGTACGAGACTTTACAGCCTTTCCAGGTTAAATGAAAATATTCTATATCGTGTGTTGCAGTCTAGCAGGAAGTTTGGTTTTACCTCCATGCTCCCTCATTGGCATAATTGACATTATTATAGAATCTGTCCATCTACTAAAGTAACATAATATCATTCTTTGTTTGTGGTCGATGTGAGTTCGACGGAAATTGATTACTGTTAGAAAACATAGGCCTTCTAATATGTTTTGAAGGTATTTCCACCCGGATACAACCGTCGAAAAATTTATTTCCGGTCAATTTTACCCTAAATTTGGAAGATTTTCTAAATTTGCCAAAAGCTACCGTATGACCGGTAGTTACAGTAACCTTTTCACATCAGCAGTGAATAGCAGTAGTAATATTAACAGACTACAGTACCAATAGATCCCCGCCTGCCACCACCGAGGAGAAAAATCCGGTGGCTCTATCATTTTGACGCGTCGACCGAGGGGGAAGGTCCGAATTTTTGATTTTTTTTTGGATTGGGCGCCCGGCTAGTCCTAAGTTATGGTGGCCGTATTGAATCTCTATGATGTTATTGCATATATGCATCATGCCGGCTAGACCCACCTAACCATAAAAGAATAAATCCAGAAAAACTGAGTGGCTCTATCATTTTGGCGCGCACTGTATTTTTAGCGGTAGATACAACCAAAATAGGGAAAAAAGACTTGACTCAAAAAAATCTGTTCGAGGAGAAGACTTGACCCAAAATAAAAAGCTTGTTTATGCTCTTCTCGCACACAGCGGACCCAAAGTACGCGCTCCAAGGTTTTATGGACTCGGTGCGGCTGGAACTTCGGAGTTTCGGCGCACATCATTGAGCCGGGTGTGGTCAAAACGACGCTTTTGAATAAAATGCAATGCTGGAAAGGGTGAACGTCACGTGGTCACTTATGAGTTGTTGAATATCAGCGGCAGACGGTAGTATTGTTCCATCCTTGCCAACGGTTTCTCCATTGGAGACTCTTCTTCGAACCTCGTTCAACTTATCGATTACCTGCTGCTGTTCCGTGCCCGTCAATTTGCGTTGGGCTTCTTGTTTGCTGTTTGCTTATGCAATGGACAGACTTTCCTGGTATAATCAGTTCGCAAATTCAAGATCTCTGTAAATATTCGAATCAGAAGCCACGGGATTATGCGAATTCTCGGAAGCGATTTTATTTGAACAGACAATTTCCGGTTCAGGATAACGTTCGTTTTTGCTTGGGGGTTCAACCGCCCTCTTCCTCATATTTGTACAGATCGAGCTCATTCGGAGAAGCTTCTTTTATTCTGCAGCGCCTACTTCTAGGAACTGTAAATATGTCCGTCGTTCCGGGGCCTATAAAAAGCCAATTTAAATTTGATTTTATCACATCACTTGTCTGCATATCCGCCCGATACCAGAATGCGGTCCATTTCTTGTTTGATTATGGTCACTCTTTTGACTACAGTATCCTCCGCGTTGTTGGATAAGCTTGGGAAAACGCAGCTCAGCGAACTTGTGAAGAGCAAGTTTGAGAAGAAAGATTTGGATGATATCTTTGACAAAGAAGCCTTTGACAAGTTCGAGGAACTCTTCAAGGACAACAAGACCCACGAATTCATCGACAGTTTGAAGGGCCTCAGTGACAACACGAAGAAATCCCTGAAGCTCTCTGCCAGCTTCCGTCAAAAGCTGAAGTCCGACGAGAGCAAGAACTTCAACAAGTTCTTCGGATTCATCGCGAAGTAAGTCTACAAAACGTATGACCTCACATCTTACAGGTACGAAAAGGAGTACCACAATGACACCCACGTCTCTGAGAGCTTCAAAAAATTCCAATCTACTCTGAAAAGAATTGAGAATAGACAGAAGGAGAGCCCCAAGGCCAAATTTGGCATCAACCAATTCTCCGACCTGACTCCACAAGAATTCATCGCCAAACACACGGGACTCAACGTTGAGCACCTCAGGGAACTCCATGGGAAGATCAACAGCTCAAATTTGCTCCGCTCAAAGAGAGACACAACCCAGATTCCTTGCAACTTCGACTGGAGAGAACATAACGGCGTTACCCCCGTGCAGAACCAGGGTGGTTGTGGCTGTTGCTACGCGTTTCAGGCGGTTGGTGTCGTAGAAAGCCAACACCTTATCCATACCGGACAGACTCTGCATCTGAGCGAGGAACAGGCTATTGCTTGCACTTACCACGTCGACCCGTACAACAACGGAGGTTGTGAAGGCGGTACGACTCCTGGAGTGTTGAACTACGTCGTTGACAATGGAATTTCTCTCGCGGACAATTTCAAATTCACTTCCGGAGATGGAAATCACACAGTCCCCGCTTGCCCCAGCGGACTGCCTTATGCCACGAAGATCACAAAACAAGCGTTCTTGCCTCAGTACGACGAGGACAACGTGGCCAAGATTGTGTATGAAGTTGGACCAGTTGCAACCTGTAAGTCTGCGGTTCCAAAATCATGTTCTCTCTAGCAATTGATGCGGACGGAATTCAAGACTACAAGAGTGGGATCCTCGACATTGCCGAACCCTCAGGCGGTTGGCCCATCAATCATGGTGTCATCATCGTTGGGTATGGAGAGGAAAATGGTACCAAGTACTGGATCCTCAAGAACTCGTGGGGAGTGGGATGGGGCGACCAAGGATTCTTCAAGATCAAGCGAGGCGTTAACTCTCTTGGCATGGCCGAATTCAATTATGCCGCGTACTTCTGATCGTTTACAGTTGTAAACTATATACTATAAATTATTTTTGCCGTGACATTTCAATAAATACCATCGATATCTTTTTTTAGACATTGGATCTTTTTTGCTTTGGATTACGCCCTACAGGCATTCGACGGTTTAACGTTGTTAGAGATTGGCTTCATTGTCCTGAAAGTTGGATTAATCATGATAATCAAGAGGCACTTTGAATCTATTGAAAGCCCCCTAACTGTAAGATAATTGTAACAAGGGAATGGTGTGAACTGTTGTTCGGAGGTTTTTCCGGCTACGATTTGCAAGCACCTTTTGTCCAGGACCAAGGTGGGCAATCGCCGAGGTGAAGCTGGTCTAGGAGGATGCACCAAGATCCAAGCCACGCATCAATTCCATATCGGTCTATTAACATTCTTTTTTGAATGTCAAACAAAGGGACCTCGATTTTGGACCTGTTTTTTAAGCGGTTCGAATTGCTAATTTGCACCGTATCGACACGACGTTGTGTCCAAAGTAATCACACAATGCAAGGAGCTGTTAACAATTTTAAGCGTCCATTAAGTGAAAGAAAACGCACCGCAAACACTTCTGCCAGCCGCGAGGTCATCAACAGCGAAATCCGATTTCCAGAAAAAATTGCCCGTGAGACCGGCATCAGCGACCGACCAGTCAGCCAAATAGCTAAAAATCAACTCAAGGTCTCCCCATACAAGGTCTGAAATGCCTAATTCCTCACCGGGAAGGTCAAGCACGTACGCCTGAAAAAATGCCGAAAATTCAGACGTCGGGAAAGACGTAACATTATTTTTGAAAGGCAAAATGAAATAAAAAAATCGATTTATCAAAAAGATTTTCACGAAATTTGCATATTTTTTCCAAATAAAAGCAAAAAATTGAATTTTCCGAATGCCCTCATTTTTTGTCCGACTTTTTATTTTGTATCTATTCATACCGAGACTACGATGCGTTTTCTGGTTGTTCTTTTCATCACAACGAGCTTCTTGGCCAGTATTTTGGCCAACAAAGTGGAAACTGTCGATTTTCTGAACACTCTCTTTATTACAAACAGAACGGCGTTGAAATGGACGGATTTCGTGCAAAATGTGGCGAACGAATGTGGGTTATAGTCTTCACAATTACTTCTTACAGTATGTAGATAATGAATATTTGAAAAAAATCGGGTTTCAGGGTCAGTTAGCCCAGTTTGCTCGAATCTGTTGGAATCGGCCTTGGAAATCGCTCAAAATCAGACTTTGTCCGCCTTCAACTGCAATAATTCCAAATGCTTTGGTAAGTAAAATCTCTAGAGTGCCCTGAAAAAGCCTTGAGGCGTCGTTTGCTTCTTTTATTTTATCTTATTAGGCTACTTTTTGTATAAAACTTGTCAAAAATTCGCCAAACTTTGAAAGATTTCGAAAAAATCCTGAAATTGTAACCCATAACTAATGTAGTTTTGCAGACGACTCGATCTCGGACTCCTGGCCAGTGTGGATGCTCGATTCATGGGGTCGCCCGTTGCCTGGAATCCATTCCCGAGGCCCTTTCTTCTTCCTCGGACATTATGATCAATGTGCAAGTTTATCCACGGAAAACAGAACCGCCCGTTATTGTAGGGCCGAATGGGATATTCAGTGGGGCCAACAGTCAATCCCGCTTCACTATGGTAGGGCTGTTTTTGAACCACCACAGTTTAGGAAAGTTTACGGCGCAAAGAAAGACTTGACACGGATGGGTCAAGTCTTCCGCTCATTGTTTTCTTTCTTTGTCAAAGCGCTTTTTGATGATTAAAATTATTTTCTAGTGTAGTAGAAGGTTGTCGATTGTTATCTTTCAGGTTTCTGCATTTTGAAGCAGTGCGAGTACGTTTTCCGTGACCCGAACATTACACTTGATCTGGCAAGTGGAAAGGCACGAATTAGCTGTAAAGATGCCAAGAAAACGTTTGAATGGACCTCTGATAAGGTAAGCTATGATGAAAGAAACATTTTGCATCTCGTTTTGAGCCGTTTCATTGAGTTGGAGTCTTTTTTTGATGTTATCCATGATAAATTTCTTTCCCGATAACTTTGGCATTCCCCCGAATAACATTTTAGATTGTGTACACATCCATTGTGGGCCTACTGGTGTCCTTGGTAATTATTGGCACGATTTACGAGCGCTGGAGCCACGGAAATCACACAATTAGGTCTGTTCTCGGCATGGAAAAGATTGGCCGAGCCGCAGCGAAGGGTTCGAACAGAGAGACGGAATACCGCGGAATTGACGGTAAGTTCTATTCGGATCGTGGTGAAAATTGAGTTTAAGACGAGAGTATGAACGTCACTTTATACGAAACCGAACTTGGCTCATCCAACGTGCCAAGTGTTGCCCTCACATACAAACCGGTGAAAGCGGTGTTCAAAAATCAAAACGGACTTTCATCGATTGTAAGCAGTGTTATTAGGCTATGTTAGTCATATTTCTGACATTTCTGCCTCACTTTAGTCAAAAATATTCTTTTTGGGTCAAGTCTTTTCCTCCGATATTATTCATGCCAAATCCGATAAAATTTAATTTCAGCTTCGCTCATTTAGTGTCTTCTACAATGTGAATAGACTGCTGAGAACGCCGAGACTTGAAATCGACGCCCTTCACGGGATCCGGGTCCTCAGCGGCTTCTGGGTCATCCTAGGCCACGCCCACTTATTACCGTTGGCATTTGTGGACAATGTCAGGCAGCTGGTGGACAAATTACAGACTGAATTGGTGTATTCTGCACTGATTGTGAATTCCGGACTCGCTGTGGACAGTTTCTTCCTGGTGTCGGCCACGATCTTCTCCTTTGTCATTCACCGAAAATTGAGGAGGCAGGTATAATATAAATGGACAAGAGTTAATGGTATTGGTTTAGAATCCCCGAAATCACTCTTGGAGGACATGTAAAACGGGCCTTGGTGATGTACTTGCACCGATGGATCCGTTTAGTACCAACTTATGCGTTTGTTCTGGGATTTGTTCTGACTTTTTTCAATTCTCTTGGATCGGGTCCGGTTTGGAACGAAGAGAAGGGTAAAATGCGCATATTTAAAATGCAAGGTTTGGTTTTTTTAGGTGTTTTTGGAAGTCAATGTCGCAGCGATGACTGGGTCCATCACCTGTTTTTCCTGGTCAACGTCTACCCCAATAAATGCATGCCTTGGATGTGGTACTTGAGCGTGGATTTTCAATTGTTCCTGGTGATTTAATATTCTTAATTGGTTGAATTAATTGTTGATTAGGTGTAGAAAGCATTTTGGTGGCTTTTCCAGTGTCGTTTTAGCGGTTTGGACATGAGGGGAAGAGTTGACTCAAAATTTTTGGTTTGGGTCAAGTCTTTTCCTCGAGTGGAAAAGTTTGATTTGAAAGTAAAAAGTGATTTGAAATAGACTTTAATAGTGTTTAGGAGTATCGACAATGTTTTTTTCAGTTTTCCCCTATCTTAATAGCCATTCTTTACCACTCGAAGACGGCTGGAGCCTATATTATTGGAATTTTGATTGCTTCGGTTTCAATTTACAGAGCTGCCGTGGTGTATGCCTATAAGTGAGTGGATAATTATGTGATTCGAACATTTATTGATCCTATTTCAGTTTCCCGGTCAACATTGCGGTCCAACTTGTCCAAGAAGGCAATACCGAATCGGATATGGAAGAGGCCCAGAAGATGTTCCACTGGCTCTATGCCAACCCGTTTGCTCGCTCAGCCCCGTATTTGTTGGGTAAGGGATAGTTGAGGCAGTTTGATTCGTATTTTAGCGATTCTTCTCGGCTGGAACATCCATTCGAAGCTATCAAAGTCAATTTATTTGTGGATCCTCCGATTTTCGAGCCTTATTTTGATGGCATGGGCAATTTTTGGGATGGAAATGATACCTAGTAGATTGTATGACGTCATTTACAGTTCGTTGTATCGAACTTCATGGTCATTGGGACTGGCGATTATGGTCTGGCTAAGTTATCACAATCAATTTTTCTGGATCAGCGATCTTTTGAATGCCAGACAATGGGTTCCTGTGTCAAGGTAAAGGGGGTTCGGATGTGTTTTGGAGGTTTATTTGGAATTTAGGGGTATAAATTAATTTTGGGTTTGAGTCTCGCCACGAAAACTTTTGATTTTGAAACTTGATAACTAGGGTGTTAAATTGATATAGAAGAATAAAAATTAAATGAAGGAGGCACGTAAGACTTGGTTTTGCATTTACCAAAATTTTTTGGGTCCCGCCACGAAAGCCTGAAAATCTGGAAATCTCTCAAAAATTGCTTCCAAGTTATCGGAAATTGTGTATATACGACAATAAGACGTGTTAATTTATTTATTTTTGCACTGTACCTCTAAATTTTATTTATTTTCAGATTGGGTTACGGTATTTACCTTACACATGAACTTCTCATCATTTTTATCGTATTTTCCCGCCGAACCGCATGGAACGTGACCTCACTGATGGACGTGGTTCAACTTGCTCTTTCCGTTTTCTGCTTCTCGATTGGGTTGGCGTTTGTTTTGGCGATTTTGATCGAGCTTCCACCACTAACGGCTGAACGGAAACTTTTGATGACAACGAGAGATGGGAATGAGGAGGAGAATGAGAATGCGGTGGAAATGGAGGTTGTGGAGAAGGAAGAGATGAGTGAAAAGGAAAGTCGATTGGAGTAAGTTTTGCGACTTATTTGGGGGTTACGGTAGGATACTTGAATATGGGTGGGTACTGTAATATAAGGCTAGAATTGGTAATTTGGAAGTTGAAAATAGAAAGTAAATTTGATTAAGAAATGGTATCGTAATTTTGCGGTATTAATTTGCATAGTGTTGCGAGAAAAAAATGAGTTTATTTTTTGCACAGTGCGAAATTTTGAGATGATATTTTTAGGTAGAAAATCTGGGTAAAATACGCTTGGCTTTGGTTAGTTGGTTTATTATACCTCTGTAATAACAATAGAAATTACTTTGCGCCTTTTACTACGGCTTAAGTTGTCCTTACACAAGTGTTGTTCTTGTGCACAGTGCGAAATTTTGACAATCCGAAAATCGAGTTAAAAAATTGTAAATATGGCTGGATACGATAATAATAATAGGCAATTTGATTTTCAGGCCACTGATCGCATCTCCAGAGCAATCTCAACGCATCAGTTCCACCGAACATTGGGTTTTGAATGGGACAATGAACGAAACTGCTTTCTTGAGTTTTGACGAGGAAGATCGAAGACACTGTGGACAAAGCGACTCCTCCAGCTTTGTTTAGACATTTTACCATATGTATCTGAGCATCAGAGTGATCTGAGTTTTGGATTGTCTTATATTGATATAAAATATTTTGATGGATAATATAATTTGTTGGGTTTTTTGGTATCTTTTGATGAAAAAATGGGGTGTTTTAGATGTGGAATGGCTGATTGAGATCGATTATGGCGTAAACAGTAAATTTACAGTTTATTTTTCGCGATTATTCAACATATACATTAAAATCAGGTTATATAAATACTTATCATCCCTCATCAAACTGAAGTCCTGCACGCTGTTGCTTTCGTTTCCGGAGGGCGCGCGCCGCACGTCACGGGCTGTAGTCAAACACCGGGTCCTCGTCCATGGCCACAAATCTCTTCGGCCACTGGTTCGCCGCCGGCCACACTGCGCGATGCAGTTTGGTGAACATGAGCGCGTTCCGCCGATAACGGCCCGCTGAAATTGCTCGATTAGCCTAATAAAGAGAGGGCTGCGAATGACTTGGGGGCATGATGAAGTCATTTTGGGTCTTGTTTTCGAATAAAACGGGGAATTTGGGGTCATTAGGGAGCCGGAGATTGGTCTTTTCGGAGGGCTAACTTCAAAGCCTTGCCAACGTTAAAAACAATTGGAGTGATGACGTAAAAGGGAAATTGGATTACTGTGAAGAGACTGTACTTTATAGCCGACACAACTTTTTGACGAAATAGAGGGCATAAAAAAGGAATTTTTCTATTTGGAGATGATCAGATTTTGAGATAAACGACCTTGTTAAATTTGATCGGATTACTGTAATTTGATGATATAAAGAATAGTTCATGTTGTTTTTACAAAGTAGATTAGGGATTGTTTTATAGCGCCTATTAGATCTTTGAAAAAATATGATCGCAAAGTAAAAATTTGTGATTTTTAATGAAAGTGAAAATTGAAAAAGTGGAAAATTAATGAAGTTACAGTAACCTGGTGTGAAAATTAGGAGTGAAGAAAGAGAACAGGTAGATTACTGACTGTTTTACAATTTAAATTTGATATCTGGGTAGAATACGACGGGTAAATTTTGAACTTTACAAAAGACAAGATTAGAAGGGGCATGCTTAAAAATTTGATCAAATTACAGTAATCTAATAAAATAAAATGGGCGCGAGAGATTTAAAAAAGATTCTAGGGTATATGTTATACTCTCAATGTGATTTTTTGATGAAACGGAGGGATAAAGGGCGAGATTTATAATTCTAAAAATAGTGATAAATCTTTGAAAAGGTAGGGTTGGAAAGTAGGTGAAATTACAGTATACTGCGGTCAGAAATTACGAGGTTGAGAGATTTTTTAAAGGTACAGGATACAGGCTTTCTGATTCAGTGTATTTGGTAAATTGATTTTCATGCCCTCCGGGGTTTTAGGCTTCTGAAATTGGGTAGCGAAATTTGATCTTTTTTGATGGTAAAATACCCTTCCAAAAGCAAAGAGTGAGCTGTAGATTACAAATTTTGTCACAAAGATGTTGCATAGGATATTTTACTTTTGTTCAGACCAAAACTACCATATTTTCCAGACGAAAAGTCTGGGAAAATGATGTTCTTTGGGAGACGTCCAAAAAATTTCCCCCAAAATTATGCAATTTAGAGCTGAAAATGACAGCGAATGATGTAATTATCTACCGTTTTACTGTGATTCAATATATTTATATAAATATTCTGTAGGCTTACAATTACCGACAAAATTGGATAATTATAATTACAGGTTATTTTTCAAAAGCAAACAATTAATTCGTGGGTAATTTGAGTGGTTAGACGTCAAGACGTTATTATTTTATGGGAACTTCCTTGTTATTATTTGCTAAAAAGGCCTGGGATGCTGCAAGGACTGCTAATTAAAACGGTTTTTATTACTTTTCAAGGAAATTGTCAATTTTGAGCGGAAATACGAGGAAAAAGCGGGGCTTTTATGGCTATAACGGGATAATTAATGGGTGTAGAAAGGTTGCAAAATGTGGTAATCTATGACATAAACCTTCTGATACAGTAAGAAAGAAGTTCCAATGTGAGTTTTTACAAAAACAACAAAAAATTTTGATGCCAAAATTTGTTAAGGATAATATAATTTTTTCTCCAAAATTGCCGCTAATTAAAAAAAATCGACGTCGGAAGAACGCTGGCGTGGTCTACTGTAATTTTTTCACATTTTCTTCTCTTCTAAACCCATTGAAACAGAATGCCAAAATTTTCAAAAAATCGCGGAAAGTTTAAAAAGCTTTTTTTGAATCGTTTATTTTGGTCTTTTCGGCTCCAATCTATTTAGAAATTCATTTGGGTTCACTAATTTACACTTAGAACCCACTCAAAGTGGCCTCTCTATCGAATGACGTCACTTTTTCACTCAACTAATCCCACTCAAATTTGTGAAAAGAAGATGCTAAGTAACTTGTTGGAGGATACGCTTCGTTTCCTTGAATTTTTTACTGTATACTGTGCTAAAAATCCATTTTACATACTTTTCTTTTGTTTCAAATAAAAAAATTCTAGTTTTTCGTATAAAATGTCGCCCAGACAGATATAATCCTATAACCAAAAAAGTTGGACTCCTTTTTCAAAATTTGAGATGTTTCTCCAATAATTGCGCAATGAATACCATTTTCACGAAACATGAGCCAATGCCCTGAGGGAAATTTCTTTGTTTGCCAATTTAATGGTTGAAAAATTGCCTGCAGATGACTTTCATGACCTCACTTTTATCTGTTTTGTCATTAATCATCGTTTTTTTTGCTCGATTCATTGAACCGCAAAAAATTTTCCGTAGGCTGAAAAGGGCATAAAAAGAGACGAAGCGTGGCCAAAACATACGAAAAGTGGACATGGGTCATTTAGAAAGGGAAGATGGCTAATGCGAATGTTATTAAGAATATCCTGGTCAGTTACATTACGATATGAAATACTGGAAAAGACAAGTAGTACGTTCGTAAAAAATATGGGAATGAGGAACTTGGGTCTTGACACGAAAACATGAACAGACGAATTTTTATGGTAATAGTGTTTTCCAAGGCTGTGAAATTGCATTGCGCACAGTAAGATGAGCAAAGAATATTTTTTAACAAAATTTTGAAAACACAAAAAATTTGATTTGTGTCCCACCACGATAACTTGAAAAGACATTTTTTCATGCTGCAAATAAAATTTTCATTGCAAAATAAGCGTGGTAAAATACGCCAAATTGAATAGTTTGAAGATTAAAAAATTTTTTTGGATCAAACCACGACACCCTGAAATCCTTGGCATTCTGTCTATTGTTCCAAATTTCAAGATTTGACTATTGCAAAAAAATTTTACAAAGTTTTTCCAAAAATGTTTTGAAACATTTGGCTTCAAAGTTGAATATTTTTCACGTCTACTGAATCCTTGTCAGCTGTCACATTGTAATTTACATTTTTTTTCAAAATTCGTATTCCGTTTGTTCTGGCCACCCACTCTGAAAACGCGCGACGGCCATAAAAAGCAGCCCCGAATGTAGACTGTAAGATAATTTGGAATGGCTCAAAGAACAGCCAAAACAAACATGTCACTCAAAGAGTATGCACTTCCGGTTACGCAAGACAAATTTAGCACTTAGCGGTCTGGATTCAACGTGATAAGAAAAGGTCAATAGCACATAAATATATTCGAAAGTTAAGTGCGTAGTCTGGAAAAGTACGGTATATAATAATTAAATGCGATTAAATTTTGATGAGGTTTTGGAAAACTGAGAGAAATTATAAGAGAAAACATGATTTGGAGGTAGATAAAGTAGGTAGAGTCGTATCTTAAATCCAAAATTTTGTGAAAAATTTTACAGCATTGTACAGAAAATTCAAAAGATGTGGAAAAAAATGGATTTATAAACCTTTGGAATCTTATTCAGGTATCTAAAACAACAACGAAAATTCTCAAGTCATAAATCCCCAATTCTCATCAAACTTTTTACACGTTTTCTGTATAGCTCACGTATAAATCCCTCAAAATTATAGCCGGCAACATAGGTTGGCAACTAAGATAATCAACGATCTTTGCAGACAAGACTATATGAAAAATAAGCAGAGACGGTCAGAGAAAAAGGTACAGAATTTGATGTTAAAATATGGTCTTGTTTCTAAGGTTGGTCTCATATCCGCGATATTTTTATTTAAAATTTCTTATATACCTTGATTGTTGCATATTCAACTACTGTTACAGTAACTAAATATGCTCACAACTTCTTACTTTACAACAAAACTTCTGTTTTTTACATTTTAGCGTGCAAGTCGAAGCGTGCAGAACGTCCGGAAAATTTTTTAAAGATCTTCGAAACTGCTTGTTTACTATAATATATATCTCAATTCGTGACGACTACATGCAAACACAAGACAGTTTAAAAACGCGAAAAAATTACTTTGCTGCTTCTATTACAACTGAGACATTAAACGTTCTGATCAACGATTAATCATTTGTAAAATGATGTCATGATATAAATCTACCTTAAATTTTGCAAAGTTACGTGAAAATTTAGCATCACAAAAGATAACGGGGATTGAGATCTCGACTTCTTGAATAGCATTGTCACAGGTCTACGAGGTCTATTTCAACTAATCTGGACACAAGATGCCACGGATTAAAAAAGAGGTAAAACAGTATTAGACAAGATACGTTACTGCGCTGTAAAATCCAAAATAGAACTCCATATTGCATTGAGATGACATAGTAAGAAGGAGAGGGCAAATGGTACTGTCAAAAATATGTTTAGGGTGGTGTTTTAGGAGAAATTTAATTGTTATATCCATAGATGGAGCAAGGAAATTTCCAAGAGCAAGGCTTGAGATTAGACACTGGGATTTTCCTCAAATCTTCGGTACATGATCTGTGTAGAAAACATATTCGTTGAAGCAGTTCCGAGCTCTCACTTTGCTGACGCAGCCGAGAATCGATCGTGACAAAAAAGAGGGCCGCTCTAATAAGGGAGGTGCTCAAAGTGCGGTGCTCAGACTTTAATAAAGTTAGGCATGTATTTAGAGCAGATTTTTCAAGGACATACTTGAAATTTCTAGCTTGCGCTTTGCAGAAATGCCCGACATTAAATAGGAGCAGCGAAAAAATCGAAGCGCAAAAAAACATTTCAAAAATTCAATTTCCATGGGGAAGTAGGTCAAACTTGTCGCGACGCGATGGGGATAACTGTAATAAAAGAGCTTTCAGAGGTCTGCATATTATAAAGCGCACCATATTTGAGACATCAATGTTCTTGAAACATTGCCTGAGGCATAATCCAACATTTTTGAATGAAAAAAATGAAAATTTTGAAAATTACAGTAATCAGAAAATAAAAAAACGACAGAAAATAAAAGATAACGCTCCAATTCTCTATTGACTACGTCAACTTGCATATTACTTTCAAAAAATATCAAAAATCAGCAATTTTTTGTCATCAATTTCTATAACATAAATTAATCCCCAAAACCCTCTCCAAGCACTGCTTGACATTCATTTTACTGAATAAACCCTTGAGCAATCTCCATTTTACCCCATTTAGATGAAAATTACATTTTACTTTTTTTGGATTCGTAATTTCTCGCCTGAGGGAGAGTTTCCTCATTACTTTGAACTCATTTGGAACTCTCCTTCTTCTATTACTATGCCCTGCCTAAAAAAAGTTGTTGTCGTGTTGAAAACGAGTGAAACTTCCGGTTTTCACACGTAAGTGTAATCACATTTGTCTGAACCGACATGATGGATGGGAAGGGCGTCTTTTGTTACATTATACATGGTACTAGGAGACATTTGGAGGGCAAATAAGAGTGCACGGAAATCTCGTGTCTGAATATGGAATTTGACGGGCAAGTAGTTTGAAGTAACAATAGATATGTTGGAAGACAAGAATCTTAGAAAAATGACACTTAAAAAGATACGACTTCAAGGAATCAAGGAATGTTTTATTCAAAGAATGGTGATTTTCTCTAAAAAATCTCGGATAAATACCGTGGCAAGTCCAAACAAACGCGCAGGTTTAGCGTTGAGAATTCAATTTATGAATATTCAGCTGCAGCATAGCCTTGTCGATCATATATTTTTAGGAAAATTATAGCATATTATGAGTCTGTCGGGAAAATATCTGTCGCATCGAAAAAAAAGTATCGCATATGAGAAAATGAATTGTTTTGCGGAAAAATCGGACTACTTTCACTTGCGATTGGGGAGTGTGCTTGTTATTTTCCCGACAGGCTAACGCACTAGACGATATGGATAAGAAATACCTGAATTATACCCAAAATTGGCGCATAATGTACATTCCAAAAATAGATTTAGAGTCCCTGAAGACTAACAATAAAATTGCATAAGCAGGCAACTTATGCAAAGAACGTTAGCGTAGATACGGTGGACAAAAATTCATAATGCCTTCATGGTGTAAGTATTCAAGAAAGATTTCGCATTTGCATTTAAAAACAAGTTTTCGAGACTTAGACGGTAGACTGAGTTCAACGAAAAGAGCTTTTGACTTTTTGCCATCAATGTGAAGTTACAGTAACCGGTGAAAAAGGTTACTGTAACTTTTTGTATCCGATGATGGTCCAAAGTCAGCAAAATTAGCCCAAGGTCTAGATAATTAACTGTTTGACTATAAATCAACCAATTCGAAATTGGTCAAAAATGTATTTATTTTGAAAAATAGAAGAAAATCGAAGATAATGCATGGAAAATACGGTTTTCATACTGTAATGGCAACGTATTTTTCATGACACAAAAGTTGCTCCGTTTTGACCTCAAATTCAATAAAATCCTCATAAAAAATGTTGAATTAAAAATTACATTCATAAAGAGTAAACATCGGGGTAAAAGTTTACTGTAAAACTTACGACTTCTGTAGAAACTGGCGTTCGTTACCGCGATCAAGAGAGCCATCAGCCAGAGTAGTGCCACATTCAGCCGCATTCTCACAAAAAACAGATGGCTTGGCCAGTTTTGTGGCCAAAAACATTTTCAAATTTCTCCACTTTCGGACTCCGCAAGCTCCGCCCACTTTGGGAGAAAATAGTCAGAAAAAAAAACCTTCAGGGGAAAAGGATTATAAAGTGGCTAAAAGAGGCTGTAATTGAGAGAAATTGAAAAATTAAGAGCAACCAGTGGTTATTAATTGGTCATTAATTGTTTACAAAACAAAATTTTTACAGTTATTGCCAAAGAACACAAGATTTTACTAATTTCCTGAGGGGTTTTTGGAGATGAACCGGTTTAATTAAAAGAAAACAGATTAGAAAAAGATCAATCAAGGAATCTGAAAGTATTCCTAATTTTTGAAATATACACGTATGTATACGCATAATTTTAAAAATTACATAAATTATGCGACTTCTAAAAAATTTCAAATTTATTCAAAAATGGCTACTTTGGAGATTGGAATTTCAAAGTCTGACAAGGAAAGCACTTTTATGGGACCCCTTCTTTAAACGGGACATATCTCAATAAATAATTTAGATCATGCTGATTAAGAATATGTCAAAATAGTCGGTCTCTTAAACCGGAAAAGAGCGGTGTGGCCGAGTTAACTTTGTTTGAAGTTGAGGGTCTGGAAAATACATTTCTGTGCCAAGACCTACTTATTTCGTCTCAGAAACTCAAGAAACAGTTTAAGCAAGAATAAAATATAGGGGTCTATATAGCACATTAATTCAACTTGCAATTGATTTTTAATTTTTTCACCCTTAAAACCCGAAATTGGGCAGCTAATTTTTACATATTCTTAATCATGATTTTATATATCTTCTTTTGAGATATCATGTTCAAAAGTAGTAGCCCACATAAAAGTACCTTCCTTGTCAAATTTTTTTTCAACTTTTTTAAAATTGGGAAATTAAACTTTTCCGATTTTTAGACGCTCAAATCAACGTTGGCGTGTATTAAAAATTACAAAAGTTATTAGCAAACTAATCAAAATATCTTTTTTTAATACCCAGACCCTCTCAAACTCATTATACGTTTACGTTTTTCCCCATTTTAAACTCTGTGACATGCACTTTCCTGTGTCGGATTAGATTTTATCATCGTCATTACTGGTAAAAACACATATAAGTAGTCTCACTCCCTCGCGGCTTAACCTTAAAGGGCCTGTACAGCTACTTTGAAAAGCGATTTTCTCGGCTTGGGGTGGCTTTCTGATATATCGTTTGTTTTCGTGGCGGGACGCACTGACAAACTCGGTGCGATTTTTTTGGATCCAAGATGAAGAATATTACGTGTATAACGTACATTGTTCAACGAAATATGGCGCCAATTTGTAGTTTTTGTGTGGAGAATGAGTAAGTTGTTGTTTTGAAAAATTTTTGGCGTGTCTTGAACTCCTGCATGGTCTGCTGTTGTTCAGCCATCCACTAACCAAGAGTGCGCTTTGGGGGCTTCTTCACTTCCGCAACAACCAGTTTTACCTAAAATAATATCAAACATCCATGAATCTGTCAAAAACAATGTAGAGCATTCGAAATAACTTCACCCACTCAGAAACAAAACCTTCTAGGATAAGTTTATCCTTCTTCCACTTCATAAAACCTATTTTACGTTATAATTTATCCCAAAGTCTTCAAAAAGCATCCCCAACATCAAAAATGCCTAGAAATCAACTCAAAAATTTTTCAAAACAACAACTTACCCATTCTCCACACAAAAACTACAAATTGGCGCCATATTTCGTTGAACAATGTACGTTATACACGTAATATTCTTCATCTTGGATCCAAAAAAATCGCACCGAGTTTGTCAGTGCGTCCCGCCACGAAAACAAACGATATATCAGAAAGCCACCCCAAGCCGAGAAAATCGCTTTTCAAAGTAGCTGTACAGGCCCTTTAAAAAACCTCTCGATTACACAGAAAAATACGGATTATTTTATCTCCGCTTGAATGTCAGGTTCAATTCGTGACAAAACAAATAATATTTTGAGACTCACGTAAGAAAGAGGATAGGATGACTGGGTCAAAGGCTCATGGCCCTAAATATTTAGTAAGATTTGGTCCGAAAATCCCAGGAAATTGTCTGGGAATAAGAAGCGTTAAAATATTATAATGAAGAGGCGAAAAACAAGGTTTTTACAATAAACCGGACTTATTTCCTGCGTCAACGGCAATACGGAAGTCGAAGATTATCGTGGCTTAAGGAAAACCGTTCGTAATTGATACAGTTGAACCAGGAACACAAGATCATTGAATATCACGGAAGTCGCTGGATATACGTAAGCCCAAAGCTCTCGTATACGCTATGATACACAACCGGAAGGAATTAGAAGGGGATTTTTTTGAAATTGACTGTCTCTAAGATCTGTAATGCAGCATAATCTCAATCAGTGATATTTGCGATGAAATTAGGTGGGTTGAAGACCCCTGCCTATCTATTGATTCCTCCTACAGTGGAGGATATGATCCAGTGGCAAAAAACGTACCATTTTTCATCCGGGAAGTATCAAAAATGTGGCAAAATCCTTCCCTCTCCAAGTGAAAAAAAACTCTGATTTCAAAAGCGCGTCCGCTCTTTTTGTGAGGGAAAGCCATTCAAACTGAGGAGTCCGGTGACCGGAATAGACTCTTCGCTATCGGTTTTTTACACTTCGTCCATTTCGCAGAGAAAGAGAGAAAAAAGACACGCAAAAACGTACTCTCTCGCCCCAAAAATTCCCCATTTCTTCCTCGACAAAACGTTTTTCGCGTCTTTTTTGGTAAATTGGCAATCCATTCACCGGACTGTTTTAGCTTATCTCAGTTTGACCTTCAAAACTAATTTTTTTTTCAGTTGGAGAGGGAAGCATTTTGCCACGTTTTTGATACTTCCCGGATGCTAAATGGTACTTTTTTTGCCACTGGATCACTGTATTTGGTCACCAAGTATCAACATTTTTTGTCAGAATTTCGTTCGCTGAAGCCCTCTCCTTTCCCTCCATTATGTCATATTCGCGAAATTAAATTTTTTTATTGCAACATTACTCCTACATAAGATCCTTCCCTCAAACGGCTTCCCACACTTGTTCCCTCGGATTAATTCCGGGTTAATCTACATCATCCGTGATCGTGACATTAATTTCTCTTTTCTTGTCCTTGTTTACACCTACCCCGATGGATTTGCAATGTCTATAACGGTCGTTAATCCCGCGAATAACAGGATATTCCACGGGATCTTACAATTGGTCACACTGGATGTGAAGATTTCGAATTTGGCGATGTAATTGGCCTTTGTTTCGGTTTGCAAACGGATTTAGGACGCTTTACGAGATTGTTTTTGAGGCCAATTGTCTATAGAGATATAAATAGTGTGTCCTCATTCATTGGAGAGATTGTTTGTGACGTTTTTGGACGCTTTGGTCACCAGTCTCAACTTTGCTCTGTCAAAGTTGAAGGCAATTTCCGAAAAGTGAACCTTACGATATTCTCGGTACGCGAGCACTTCATTTGGGAAGAATCAAAGAGCAAAAGGTCCGCGGAAACACTGTAAAATGGGACATTACGCACGAAAGCAAAAAAGAAGTTTTTTATTAAAAAATGATGACTAAAGAATAAGCGTTGAGATAAAAAAGCAACGTTCTTCAAAAAACGACTCATTTTACGCAAACCTGGGAAGTTTATGGCCAAGAAATCGGTTGTCCCTCCAATTCGATCACTCTTTCAAGACAATGAAAATTTCGACTGTTTCGCAAACTAAAATTCTCAAGATTTTTTAATCGAATTTTACCTCTGAATTGCTCCAACCTCCATCAAAGTCTGAATCCCCGACCTCAAAAGCCTGCTCGTTAATCGTTGAAACTTTAGAGATGTACAGTTTACCCCAGCGCCCTCTCCGACGAATGTTTTTCTGATTCTTTGAATTCCCCTGCACAAAATTGGAAATGCCAATCAAAGTTGCAAATGGAATGGAGAAAACAGTGAGCTCTGCTACTAAAAACGGAAGTGGAAAACAACAAACGCACCACATCTAATACATTTATGTTTTTATTATGCTACTTTGCATAATTATCCGAAGTTTACGCCAAAATTTTTTAGAAACGGAAACGAGTTTTTTGAAAACATGCGTGGAATATTTCATCATTTTGGTTAATAAACTGGAGTAAGAATACTGTATAATACTATGCATGTTTTCAATGGACATGTTTGAAAAGAAAGGATAAGGTTTCAGATTTCAAAATTTTTAGAAAAATCACGTAAAACATAGGCAGATTTCTGGTATTAATATAGAATTATATTGCTCAATATGACCAAAAAAAGTGTCTAAAAGTCTCCGCCGAATACACTGCTTTCCGCGTTGGCGGAGAAAATGGTTTTCTTAGCCCATAAACCGCCCATATTCTTCTTTATCCTTCAAAAAGAATTTTTTGGATATCTTGACTGAGCGCCAAGAAATCGACAGAAACTTTAATTTCTTGAAACACCAGGCTCCAGGACTGTGCATTGAGCTTAGCCCGCCGCTAGCCGTAGAGATATTTGCTCTGTGCGGCTCATAGCCAATTTCTATACGAGAAAAAGAAAGAAAGCGTCCTTGTTTTTTGATTACTGTGATTTTCTTGGTATATACGGAAATCAAGGCTTTAACACAAAAAACACAATATACATAATCAATGACCATGTATGAATCTTCTTTAGAATCATCTTGTGACTCATCTCATTCATAAACCAAAGGTTTTAGACATCGGTCTTTACTCTTTTGCCCCCAGACAAAACAAAACAAAACTAGTCAAGAATGAGAGATCTCTGAGACCTCAAAGCCTCGTCTCACACCTACACAATCATTTTACAGTACTTCCACTTTTGCTATATACTAATTTTGCCATCCAATAAGATAAAATTTGGCCAAAACAAAGTTGAATTTCACATTTTTAAAAAAGGTTTTTTCAAACAATTTGCATAATCCGCCTCCATCAGAGGAGAGTCACCGCGTCGCTACGCAACTTCTGAATTCGACTAATGACTTCGTCATCAAATTCAGAGCGATTTGCATAATTAACATATGAGTTTAAAATGGAGCCCACGGAAAAAAAGATGGGATATATTGGGACAGGAATGTTACAGGGATTGTAATAAAGTTGATGCACAGAATCCAAAAATTTGAATCGTGCTTTTTACATCTTGGAAAGACGAAGTGTCACTGATTTTTTGGCATTTGTCATAAAAACGGTTCTGTAATGATCCGAGATGATCAAAGTAATGAAACGCAACACTTTTACAATTGCATATTCTTACTGTGAGCTAAGGACAAGAGAAAAAATATTTTCTTTTCTTATAAAAAACATCTACATAATTGTAAAATGTTTTTTAAAGCTCAAAGTTTATACCTAAAACTAAACGGTATTATCGAATGCCTAGTAATTTTGATACTAAATACCATATAAGGAAATTTCTCGGACTGGGACGCACGTTGATTTTTTCTTCAAATTTTCGCTGTATGCTTTTAAAAGATCTTTGCAATAGAAATACACATCTTGTTCCATGACAAAAACTGATGAAATTTCGCCCTAAAAATCTCGGGTCTCTCGCAAAGCACGAGCTAAAAATCACAGCAAAACCTGAGCATCGCCCTTTGATCACTTTCTCTGTTACCCGCCTTTTACTCAGTTACTAGAATTGCTTGAAAGTTTCCCATTTACATTTGGCATCCAATTGTTTTTGAACTCTTGCCTACAGTTTTCTAAACGAAGCCAAAACAATCAACACCTTGTGAATGCAACTCACGTCTTTCCATACTCAAAAGCATCCATCAACAAGGTCGCGTGAAAATAGCGTGCATTCAGCTGAGTTCATTAAATTTGCATAAGTAATCGTCTCTCAGAAATAGACAATTCTTAGAGTGATGGATTTCAAAAAATTGATGTTGTTGCAGTACAAAAGATCATTTTGCGTCAAATCTTTTATTGGCATTGGCTGTTACGTCTTATTTTTGTTTACAAGTTGCGCCTAATTCTATTTTATTGGTTGCTATTTACCATCTACACGAGCTTCTATTGTCAAGGCCATCAAAATTGCGCATATTTTAATGCGTTTTCCGGATATAAAGTAGCGCGGAACGGCGACTCAAATAAAATTGTAAATTATTTATTGTTTTACAATGTCCGCAAAACAACAAAGACTTATCCGGGATGAACGGGTTTTGAAAAAAGGTTTTAAAAATTGAAGCTTTTGCGTCATGGAAGGAAAAGATTGGAAAAAAACGATTGTAAACAGAGAGATGATGGTCCAACGTATTTTAAAAACTCATTGCAACCTAAAAAGCTATGTGCGACACATCAAATTATTAGGTTGTCCCATAAATAGTGTCCCTCTTCGAGAGGGGCAAAATCAAACGTCTATAAAAATCGTAAGCACCAGCCAGATTTCGCAATGTTACTACCACTTTGTAGCTGTGATCTCAGGCTTTCGTTTAATGTATCGCATGCCATGTTTGGATTAAATTACAGTTATTTCGCGTCAATTCAAAGTTGTGGAAAAAATCATGGTAAATCCTTTTCTAAAATCTGCGAAAAAGTATAAAATTCATTATACTTTTCGAGGAACATTGCGTTATTTTTAAAAAGCCGCCAGAAAATTTTGACAATACGCACAGCGGCGGACCTGATCCATTGGCAAAAAATATACCATTATGCATCCGGAATTATCAAAAAATGTGGCAAAATACCTCCCGCTCCAAGTGAAAAAACTCCGATTTCAAAAGCGCGCATGCTCTTTTTGTGAGCGCCATCCAAAACGGAGATTTTTTAGTTAGAGAGGGAGATGATTTGCTACATTTTTTGATACTTTTCAGATGCAAAATGGTACGTTTTTTGCTACTGCATCAGGTCTAAAACTTGACTTTCGGACCTCTGAAATTTGTTGCTGTAGAAAAGTTTCGTCAAGGAAAACTTCAAACTGCACAAAAATCCTATCTTTTTCCAACTTTTTACTCAAGAAACAACAAAATGACAAGAAAAAAAAATCCAAAAATAACTAATTTGCGGTCCTCTAATTCAAATTGCTGACATCCGGATCAGCCCAGTAGCACTCTCTCTCTATCCCCATGTTATAAAGATCGCCTCTGCCGTTCATGAAGACCGAAGTGACCACACGGAACCAGCCAGTCTCTCCAAAGGCATCTCCCCACGAGTTTCTGACGATCCAATACTCTGTTTTGGTGGCGTTATCGTATCCCCAACCGGAGACGGAGACAATGTGGTTGCTCTGAAAGTGGTTTACCATTGAAATTGAATGGAAAGTAAAAGTAAAATTTGATGGGAGAAAGACTTGACCCAAAAAAAATTTTTAATTTGAGGAAGATAATTCAGAGGCCGTCAACGAACTTCAAAAAAAATATGTAACTACAAAGGGTGATCCTTTAGGTCATATCATTTCAGTCTCAGGAAAACACTTGACCCAGCTTGAGTCAAGTCTTTCCCTTAGCAAAATTTTTCAAAAATTGAGTAAAAATAAATTTAAAATACGCTTTCAAGGATTTCCACAACCTGTAAAATTGCTAAAAAACCGATTAGAAAATTTTCCGAGTCAAGTCTTCTCCTCAAATTCCAACACAAAAAAATCCAAAAAAACTTACTGGCAAGTCACTAAATTCGTTGTAAATTCCCCCAGTATACTCAAATTCAAATTTGGGAGTGGCTCCGATCGAACAAGCAATTGGTCCTCGGTTGTGGATCTCAGCCATCATATTCAAACGGCCGCTGATCTTACCGTAATCCTTGATGTAATATTTGGTGTAGTTTTGGATGGGATCACAATGTTCCGGCCAGCAAGTTCCGCAACGATGGAACGGGTCGCATTCTGAAGGTTTTTTGAGTTTAAAAATAACATAGAAGCGGGGCCAAGGTAAAAAATCAATGGTCAACAAAATAATTGGCTATATTTCAGCCAATGTTGCTGAAATATAGCCAATCTGAGCTAAAATTTTTACGGATGAAACGATAGTATATATAGAGTAAGTATGCAAAATCTGGGAGAAATCGACTGATCCTGTTTGGAGAATAATCATTAACAAAAATCAAGTCTAATGTACAACATAAATTACTCACGTCCATTGACAGCCTTGTAGTTGTTGCATCCTTCTTCGACCAAACCATGAACTTTGGCGTGATTGAAGACATCCAAAACTTCTCCCCCTTGGCATGATCCTTTGCCATTACAATCGATGATTTCCTGAGGCGATAGGTTGGTCATGGGCCAGCGATTCTTGCGGGCAACGTTGAAACGGTCATTCAGAGCGCCTAGAAAGTTTTTAAAATACGCCGAAGAGAACTGAGCTAAGACGCACAGATTTATGATAAATTTTGACCTATGAGTTTTCAGTGGATCAACAAATCTCGGACTTCTCTATCTTCGTTAACAGATTTTCATCTCGAAACGTATTTTCATTGTCAGTCCAACATAAAAAATTTCAGCTTTTGGTAGACTGAAATCCAACAGATTTTGTAAAATACGATGATTCCAATTACTATCAGTCCAATCATTCGACTGGACTTCCAAAAATTTTTTGAACTCATAAGCGAGCCCATGCACGGAAATCTTTAGTAAAAGGCGAAAGATTTGTCCGTTTGAGGATGCATGGACCCCAGAGATACCGGATCAAACCCTTTTTGGAAGCTCATCAGAAAAGCGCGCGACAATTGAAATGGGTTCCTCTTTGGAGCGAGAGAGAAGAGACCGAATCTCAGTAGAAGAGAAGAAGAGAGAGAAAGGGTCGGAAAGAACGCACATTTTCTAGCCCTTTTTGGTAATGACGTTGATTTCGCGCTTTGGTAACACTTTATGTATTGTTAGGTTTGTAAAACGAGGTTGACTCAAAGTAATTTGAGGTTTAGAAAAGATAATAAGCATGCATTTTTGGCACAATTATGCAACGACTAATCTATTTAAAATACGGTTCACAAGTATGCGCTAAATTTTATGAAGATTATTTGCGGCCTATTTAGAGACCGCATGAAAATTTTGAAGAAGATCGGCGGGTACAATTTAATATTCTCCTTATGAAAAAATCATCACAAGCCAAAATTAAGGAACCCAGTTTAGTCTTATTACATTCCTATACAGAGAGAGACCCATAAATCATCAATCCCCAACTCACCCAAGGTTCCGAACACCCAGCAGCTTCCACAGTACACCGGGATGTGCTGATTTCTATTGGGGCTGCAGTAATTGATTCCATTTACATCCCTCCAGTCCCACTCAAATGGCAACGACGCCTCGAATCCGGCGTGTTCCCAGGACCTTGGATAAGTCTTATGTTCTACAAAATTTTCCGACTGCCTGAGGCATTTGTGCTTCAAGTACTTGGACTCTCTTGGATATTCCTTATGGGCTTTTTTATCAACCGAAACTGGATTTTCCATTTCTTCGGAGCTTTCAAACGACGAATCTGGATGTTTCAGATCTCTAACGTTGGAATGGTGGGATTCAGAAGGCTTGGGGCGGTAGGCCCGGTCGAGTTGGGCATGTTGAATGATCTCCTCTTCCTCCGAAGACTCAGACTCTTCACTGAGCTGGGGAACGGCGATCGTATCCATGCGATCGAGCTCATCGGAATCTATTTTTAGGCGATAACGGCGGTTAGTGCGCTTGGCCTAAAATACAAGTTTTAGAAGGGGAAAAATAATGGTACAAAGATCAAAATTCATAGAGGTTTCTTTGAAAAACAGAGTCAATTTGTGATAAGATGGTCAGCATAATCTTTGTTCTGGCTAGCTTGCATTTTTTAACACAAGAAAAAACATCTTTTGAGGTATGAATTTTGATCAATCTTACCATAAAAGGATGTGTTTTCAGAACCAAAAAAAGTGAAAAGTTCCGAGCGTGTAGTTTACAGCACACAACAAAAATTTTGCCCATTTTGGAAGTTGCAGCGAAGAAGAGGCTCAAAATTTTGGAAATTCAAATCGTCCTACTACACACATCACGCAGAAAAATTTTTTAAAAATCGACCTGTCGTATATTCAGAAATTTATATACGAGTTTTGCTCAAAAATAGCCTCAAATTATTTATTTATAATACCACTGATAGGAGCCAAGTTTATGTAAACATAAGGCGCTAAATTCTTCCATAAAAATATACGGCATACAATTTTTGTAATATAAAAGCTATTAATTTTACATCCTTACCTCAACAGCCAGCGCAAAAAGCACCGACAGGACCAACGCGGTGACCCTCATTTTTAGGCCAATCGTCGGTAAACGGAGTGCAGACAAAATTAGGGAAGAGACAGGTCTTCTTCAATGTGCTTATCACTCTCAATTATCAGCTTCTGATAAGCGATTTCCCTGAAAAAAGTAATTGGAAAATGGCGCAAAAAAGATGTCTGAAATTGGAAAGAAACGTATGGGAAACTCTAAAGATTACTCGAAGAGATTTGATTTTATACAACATAGCATTTATTCGACCTTATTTGTTAATTTTAAGATACAGATTACCGATTTGCAGTTTCATAAATCGCAAAATCATCAATTATATTATACTAGACAAAAACCTTAAAAAACATTAAAAAAAAAATTAATGTTTTCGATAAAAAATCAAAGTGAAAATCACGAGAATCCAAGTTCTCAGTCCTTCTGGAATTTTGGATTACAATGCTTGGGGGTTTTTAAGAGGCCCACTTCGTTTGATTGTCCTTGGCTGATAAGACGAATGTTTTATAACGTGCACTGAGAAGGCGCTGTAATATCAGGTGAATCAGGATGACTTGGATGTACAACTGACGGCGTTGTGATTTTAAAGTCAAAATATGTCTAGAGCAACTGAACTTCTATTTCTATCGAATCTTAAGGCCAAGGATATTCGTCAAGGATAAGATAGATTTGTTGTCTAGAACGATAATCAAAGGGGACTATCACCTTTTAAGTTTCAATATATCAAATTTTCAGTTCCTTTTAGGTTACCCATTCGATAAATTCTCATGTGAACCACAATTCAAACACAAAGCAACACTTGACCCAGAGAGGGGGAAGACTTGACTCATCCTCAAAAATGGTTATAAAGTACTAAAATTGCTATTTCCCAGTGATGAAACATGATTTACAGTGGCGGTCAAAAAAAACGGCCACCCCAAGATGATGCGCTCTAGCGCAGAAGAGAGTGGTCGTAGGAAGATAAATATGGTATCAGTGTAAAGCTTATGCAATACTAAGACGTGTGACTATAAACTTGTGGTGCTGTAGTGCTGGCCTAGCACGTACTGGGGCAATATGTTATTTTGGCCTGGTCAAAAAAAATGGCCACCCATAATTATTGTGCTTTAAACGCGGTTTATGTTATAAATTGGCGCCATATGCGACTGGACTAGGATAACTACATCAATACACATCAGTTCCAGTATTTCTTACTTTGTACATATGCCCTCAGGCATCAGTTAAGGTTGATGACCTTGTTCATGGTTAAGGCCCGGCCAAAATTTTTTTTAGATTTGTGTCGTTGTTTTGATAATCCTGAGCAATACTATAGACGGTATTGATCGTATTCATGTGTAAAACTGTCCACTTCTGCCAAAATTGCGCCCCTTCTGATAATAAAACTCAAAAAAGCAGATTTTTTGGCCGAAATTTTTTCAAAAATCCGTTTTGGAGGCCGCTAAACAATTAATGTAGAACCTTAAACAGGCTTTATCTGTACAAGAGCATCATGGACATTTGTTTTAACACGGCACCGGTTAAAGGAAACTACCGCCCGAAACGACAGATACCGTTTTGTTACAGTTTTCGACTTCAGGAAATAATCATAAACTTTGTCAAGGTCTGTAACCCGAATTTTAACTTTAGGGGCTCATATTTATCTTTAAATGATTGAGTGGTATCTCAACAATGCCACAAATGCAAGACTAGATTCTAATTTCTATTCAACGATGTTTCGGAAACGGGCAAAATTCATGATTACTTCCTGAAGTCGAAAACTGTAACAAAACGGTATCTGTCGTTTCGGGCGGTCGTTTCCTTTAACCGGTGCCGTGTTAAAACAAATGTCCATGATGTTCTTGTACAAATAAAGCCTGTTTAAGATTCTACACTAATTGTTTAGCGGCCTCCAAAACGAATTTTTGAAAAAATTTCGGCCAAAAAATCTGCTTTTTTGAGTTTTATTATCAGAAGGGGCGCAATTTTGGCAGAAGTGGACAGTTTTACACATGAATACGATCAATACCGTCTATAGTATTGCTCAGGATTATCAAAACAACGACACAAATCTAAAAAAAATTTTGGCCGGGCCTTAACCATGAACAAGGTCATCAACCTTAACTGATGCCTGAGGGCATATGTACAAAGTAAGAAATACTGGAACTGATGTGTATTGATGTAGTTATCCTAGTCCAGTCGCATATGGCGCCAATTTATAACATAAACCGCGTTTAAAGCACAATAATTATGGGTGGCCATTTTTTTTGACCAGGCCAAAAGAACATCTTGCCCCAGTACGTGCTAGGCCAGCACTACAGCACCACAAGTTTATAGTCACACGTCTTAGTATTGCATAAGCTTTACACTGATACCATATTTATAATATCTTCCTACGACCACTCTCTTCTGCGCTAGAGCGCATCATCTTGGGATGGCCGTTTTTTTTGACCGCCACTGTAGCACACGAAACAACGTATTTTACTCCGAAGAGAACACTTGACACAAAGGTAAAAGGCTTCATCAAACCCTGTAACCTTTATAAAATCCCACTAAACCCTCAAAATCAACGAAAAGACACGTTATTGTCAGTAATAAAGCGTGGTTTACTCCTCCACCAAACAAAATATTCGAATCGGATTCGATTATTCCTGGTCTGCTAGTTTGTCTGATTTGTCCACCGGTCGCACGCATATCTTGTCCGCTGCCAGCGCGGTCTGGGAGTAGTGGACGGGGAAATGGAGGCCGTCGATCACTGCTGTGTCCACGGGGAAGAGCCAAAGGCCCCAGCCGAAGACGGCCCGAAAATTGAAAGGGCGGCCGAAATTGTAATCCGCTCGGTAGTCGCCGCTGAAAAACTTGAATAATGTTAACTTTACTCGTATTTTACTCTATCACAATTTTTATTATCAAACTTTGATTTTTGATACGAGAGGAACACATGACCCAAAGTTGGGACAAGTCTTCCCCTCAGCAGAAAATATCCAAAATATCCCATGAATTCGTATTTTAGGAATTTTAAAAATCTCTTTATTATACCATAGCAACAAAAAAGTCGTATAATGCCTAAAACTGACGTATTTCTCCATGTCCTAACAAAAAGTAACACTTGACGCAAGGGTCAAGTTTTTCCCTGCGTTTACCCCAAATCCAAAAAACATACCGTATGATTGGAATCTTGGCTTGTTCACAAGTCGTCTCATTCAACGATACCAACCCAAAATGATATATCAACAACTCGCCCAAAGGATAATACCCAAAGACTCCGCACATCACCAAGGATATCACGATTTGTGCGAAATAACCGGCTTCACCTGACCAATCCTGGTTCACAAAGTACCGAATGACTCCTTCTATGCTTGTCACCAGTGTCCTGAAATCAAAAACCAATGCTAATCTCGGTGTTTGCAAAAATGCCAAGTGCTCAAGTTTTCGTTGTGGGACCCAAAAAAAATCGCAAAAATGATTCCTAAACCGACTTACCACGCTACAACACAGCATCCGTAGAACAGATAGAGCAGAAAGAACTTGTAGTTGCCAAAGGAAACGCACTTGTTGATCCACGGACAATGATGGTCGTATTTTATGACACAAAATCCACATGAACTACAATGATGAGCGCGGTCGGGTTTGATCAGCGAACATTGATAACAGTATCTGGAAATACTGATTTTTAAGAGATATATAGCTTTTATTGAGTTGAAAATTTTTTCGCGTGCTTTTGCTTTTTGAGTCAAGTGTTTTCCTATGCAAATTTAACGCAAAAAATAGCACCGGAAAATTGAAATGCTCGTATTTTACCTTCTATTTCAAGTCCTTTCACTCGGCGAAAAACAAAAGTGCCAAAAATTTCCTTTTTTTCCAATACGTGTCAAGTCTTCCTCTCAAACCAGTTTTTCTCAATTTTTGAGATTTTCTCCTCTTTTGCAAATACAACGCAGATGTCTTCAAAAATTTTTTAACTCAATTTACACCGATGTCTATTAAACTTGGTATAATCTAACTTCATTATATTAAGTATCCGCTTTTTGCGCAAATTTTATAGCAGCAAGTAATATAACAAAGTTATATGCCTAACTTTCTACTGCCATTCAAATCCAATTAGATACAGTGGCGGTCAAAAAAAAACGGCCACCCCAAGATGATGCGCTCTAACGCAGAAGAGAGTGGTCGTAGGAAGATAAATATGGTATCATTGTAAAGCTTATGGAATACTAAGACGTGTGACTATACGCTTGTGGTACTGTAGTGCTGGCCTAGCACGTACTGGGGCAATATGTTCTTTTGGCCTGGTCAAAAAAAATGGCCACCCATAATTATTTTGCTTTAAACGCGGTGTATGTTAGAAATTGCCACCATATGGGACTGGACTAGGATAGCTATATCAATACACACCAATTCCAGTATTTTTTACTTTGTACATATGCCCTCAGGCATCAGTCAAGGTTGATGACCTTGTTCATGGTTAAGGCCCGGCCAAATTTTTTTTCGGGTTTGTGCCGTTGTTTTGATAATCCGAGGCAATACTGCAGACGGTATTGATCGTATTCGTGTGTAAGACTGCCCACTTTTGTTAAAATTGTGCCCCTTCTGATAAGAAAACTCAAAAAATGGAATTTTTTGACCTAATTTTCTCCAAATATCCGTTTTGGAGGCCGCTAAACAATGAATGTAGAATCTTAAACAGGTTTTATTTGTACAAGAACATCATGGACATTTGTTTTAACACGGCAACGGTTAAAGGAAACGACCGTCCGAAACGACAGATACCGTTTTGTTACAGTTTTCGACTTCAGGAAATAGTCATAAACTTTGTCAAGGTCTGCAACCCGAATTTCCACTTTAGGGGCTCATATTTATTTTTAACTGATTAAGTGGTATCTCAACTACGCCACAAATGCGATACTATATTCTAATTTCTATTCAACGAGGTTTCGGAACCGGACAAAGTTCATGATTACTTCATGAAGTCAAAAACTGTAACAAAACGGTATCTGTCGTTTCGGACGGTCGTTTCCTTTAACCGTTGCCGTGTTAAAACAAATGTCCATGATGTTCTTGTACAAATAAAACCTGTTTAAGATTCTAAATTCATTGTTTAGCGGCCTCCAAAACGGATTTTTGGAGAAAATTAGGTCAAAAAATTCCATTTTTTGAGTTTTCTTATCAGAAGGGGCACAATTTTAACAAAAGTGGGCAGTCTTACACACGAATACGATCAATACCGTCTGCAGTATTGCCTCGGATTATCAAAACAACGGCACAAACCCGAAAAAAAATTTGGCCGGGCCTTAACCATGAACAAGGTCATCAACCTTGACTGATGCCTGAGGGCATATGTACAAAGTAAAAAATACTGGAATTGGTGTGTATTGATATAGCTATCCTAGTCCAGTCCCATATGGTGGCAATTTCTAACATACACCGCGTTTAAAGCAAAATAATTATGGGTGGCCATTTTTTTTGACCAGGCCAAAAGAACATATTGCCCCAGTACGTGCTAGGCCAGCACTACAGTACCACAAGCGTATAGTCACACGTCTTAGTATTCCATAAGCTTTACAATGATACCATATTTATCTTCCTACGACCACTCTCTTCTGCGTTAGAGCGCATCATCTTGGGGTGGCCGTTTTTTTTGACCGCCACTGTAGGTCAAAGACTCTTCGGCTGTCTTTTGCAACCATCAAGTCTGCATTAAATGTCCTGCACAAGTCAGAACACTCCATATGACTTCCTTCCTGGTCACAAGTCTAATAAAATTTTGACTCAACTCAATTAAAATATTTCCTAACTTGTTGACTATTTGTCATGCAGTGAGTTATTACAAATACAAGCCAATTTTCGTCTTTCCTAATTAAAATATATATGATTTGAACTTTTTGTTGACTAGAACTGGACAAAACACTAATTATTCGTCAAAATCCGGTAGAAAATTAACTTATTGTGATTTTGCAGTGCACTCTGATCAGCATGAAGTACGATGTGATCGCTAGTTTCCAAAAAAATAAGGAGATTAATTCAAAAAACAACTTAACGCATCGAGGAATCGAACCTGAGAGTCTTGGCACGCTATGATCAACGCTCTACCACTGCGCTAAAGAAGCAACGAGGCAAAGCAAAGGGAAGAACCGCGAATTTTTGTCAGAGTGGCAGTGCGTTGAGTATTGTGCGCGGAACATCGCGGGTTCGACTCCCCTTGAGCAAAAATGCTGGTAAAGGTCGTTGCGCGCTAAACCTTGCTTTCAACGGATGCAAAAAGACATCTCAGACCCTATGCAAGGTTTCAACTCACCGTATCCTCCCAAAGTGATCCGTTTCCACCAGCAATAATCCTTTTTGTTCCACAACTTTGACCAAAATTTTGATCTGCTCCTCCACTTGATTCACATTCGAAACGTCCGGCATATATCGTCCATTCGCATTTGGGGTGCAATCCTTGAGGCGTTTGTCGATTTCCTCGTCCACAAAGTAGATGTCGGGCACTTGAGAGACGGGGGTTCGAAGGGTTTGAATCAGAGACCACATCATCATCAAGGTCAGAGAACACCAAATAAAGAGGTAGAAGGAGACCTGGACTCCACTCCGCAACATCTTCCCGCATAGTACAAAACCATAGACGTAGGCACTGGAATAATATCGGGTAAAAAGAAGTCAAAACGAGACTTTTTGATATTTTTTGGAGTTTGAGGTGAAAAATAAAAATTTTGATTTTTTTTCAAGAAATATTTTTCAAAAATGTAAAATACGGCAATTTATCCATAAAACAACAGAAAATTTTAAAAAAATTATTTCCAAAACGAAAGTCTGCGTCCTTGGCATTCTGCAATAAACAGTAAAGCCCTCACAAAATATGGTAAAATACGCAACAACACGATTCTGAAAAACTAGAAAAAATTATTATTTTTACTTACCAATACCAGAAGAGGACCAGCTGAATAATGAGCAGACTGTTGAGCAGTAAATGCAGTACAAGACCCAAGAGCGGCCGTTTTTCTCGCACATTTCTCACGTACACGTAGATCACCGAATACCAGGACATGTGGCCGCGATATTACGAACGATCGGTTTATTACCAACAGACCGCTTTCAGTGGAAGATAGTCAAGAATGAAATGGAAATTCGAGTTTTTTGGAAAAACTTTTTGCAAAATAAAAAATGAAAACGAAAATTTAATTTTTTTATTTCTGTTTTTTTTTTTTTTTTTTTTGATTGAAGTGTCAGATTTTGTGAGTTGTTCCAGTTTCTTTCGCACTTGCCCATCTATTTTTACATTTCTCAATTTCCTTGAATGTCCTTTTTATTTTCTCTCAATTTCCTCTCACGTACTTGTAAATCCCATTTCTGTCTGATCAAATTACAATTAGCCCTAACAATCGACGCAAACCCGCCTCTGTAAAATTGTAAATCCCCGGGAATTCCCATTTCTTTCGCTTGCAATCAAATTACCACGTAAATCACGAGGCCCTTTCACGTACCTGTCAGTATACTTGGTATTTCATTTTATTTTTGCTTATTACATTAGGCCCTAAAGGCAAGATCTTTGCGTTAGCGCCTTCGCTTCTCGCATGTTCCTTTTGTGCGTTTTTTTTGACTTTATTATAAATTGATTTTGCAATTTATTTTTTTGCATAGATTCTGAAGATAGAAATAACTTTGGAAGATATTTGTTGAGGTCAATGCCATAAATATTATTGTAAATGGCTGGAAGTAAAAGTTGAGACCCAAGGGAAGACTTGACTCACAATTCTGAAAAAATGTAATGAGCAATATAAAACTTGAAAATTAAAGTCCTAGCAAAAGTTTCCGTTCAAATAGCAAGCCCTCACATTTATTTTTTCAAATTGAACAATGATTGAGTCAAGTGTTTCTTTTTTGTTTATAACATCCTTTGTGGTCAAAATCAATTTAGATTCCTTATAAAGCTGATGCGCATGTGCTAAATAGTCTCGTCTGCAGTTGAAATATCCAAAATTTGATCTACAATGTTAGTATTGTCAAATTAGTCCAAGAAGGGAAGACTTGACACATGACGTGAATAAGTTGCCAACAAGTCAAAACTGATGAATAATGTCATCGTAGTGCAATGTTGAAATTTTAATTAACCTTTTTATGCATCTTACAACGACATATTCAAAAACCCAAATAATTTGAGTCAACTGTTCCTCTCAAAAAAATAACTGCTTCGGCGGCCGTAAAATCACTTTATCTGCGCCTAAATTAAGTCTTGTCCACAAATTATTATAAAATGACAACAATAATTGAGTTTATACGTGACTTCCCCAAGGAAACAAGCTCATTCTTATATCATTTTACTTCCAGATTATTTGAGTGTAACTTCTGCAGCTTCAAATTAAAAATCGAATAATGCAAAATAAATTGGCAATTTCAGGAAAGTAGATCCAAATTTTATTAGCAGTAGTTTTGTAAGATTGAGGTGCAAATTGCAATTAAGTAAGGTAAATTAATTTGGGAGAAACTCTCAACATTCGATGTAATTTGCAAAAGTTTTACGTTTACAATGTTGTAATTGCGTTTGCAAAGTTTGAAAGAGCAATTCTCTGCTGTTCCTGAGGTACAGTAAGAATTTTAAGGAAGTAATTTTTGATGACAAAAAATAAAAATTATGTCATATTTTTTGTTTGTTACCAAGCTATACGTGCTCTAATGTGGTTTAGAAAAGGAGTTCGATTTGAATATAATTTATAGTACTCCACGTGCTGTGCTATATATGTCTAACAAGATTGTAAAACTACAAATTACACCTAAAGTGAGGCTCTATTCGTCCGATTTTATGGTTCGAAGCCAATTTGCACTTTCAACGGCTCTTTTTTGAATAGCTTTGGGGCAGAGCACAACAATTAATCCCAATAGAAAAGCGAGAATTTAGTAAATTCTCGCCATTATTGATTGAATTTTTGCGACATTTCGTTACAAAATAGATGGTCATAAAGATGCGATGGTTTCATGCAATCAACAGAAAGCTAGGAATTTGGTGAAGAGTGGATAAGAAAGAATGGACGCTTGTCTGTCTTCCAAGAGTATAGTCGTGCTTCTAGCCGGATTCTATTTTGAGATACAGGTCTTCAAAGATGACAATTACTACAATCCTTTGCAGTGGCCTAACAGAAAATTTTTAGTTCAGGAAAATACAGAACTAGGCCCATCAGAAGTATCATGCCACTATCAATAAACATGCAAAAAAACAAAGACCGGTCCCTACTTGTTTTAGAGTTATACATCAATCTTTCTGTAGAACAAAACCAATTTCCCGGGTTTTTTGGCACAACGAAAAAACCCTTGGCATTCCGCAAATCACGAAAAATAATTATAAAAAAGATCGTCAAATTCATCATATTCTTTCAAAAACAGTGAGTACTTGCGGTAATATGAACCCATATGGGATCATATTTGCCATTTGGCTGTATTTCAACTCTTGTACGCACTGGAGACCAAATACGGAGCTTCAATTGGAGAGAAAACAGATTGATACCGGGGTATAGAAAGGCAGAAATCAGCAGAGTTGTGTGATAGATTAAATAGCAGTCGAGTATGTTGTCAGAAAATAAGGACAATTGGATTATGTGTTGGTTTGAATGTAGTTAGGATCAATTTGTTTAGGTATTTTTGTTTTAAATGTTTGTGTTCTTAACTGATGTATTTTCGTATTTATATCCTTCATCTCCTTTTCCGTCCTAAATAAAGAAGAAGAAGATTGAAAGACTCACCATTATACCAACCGCATAAGCCTGCACCTAATGAAATCTGTTTCAAATGAAGACTAGCCAAATCCCCAGCTACCATTCAATAAAAATTGATGGATGGTTCATAGGAATCAACCACTAAAAGCCATGGGTTTATATAACTAGGTCCTTTTACGCCGTAATTCTACGTAAAGAACATTTTTACGTCGAGGGAAAATAAATTCTTCGAGATTTTGCCGAAATATTTACGTTTTACACAATGCCAAACGCTGTTTGTTTTCGTGCCGAAGTTCAACACGATTCACCAAATTAATTGTTGTGGAGTACTGACAAAGCGGATATTGGAAAATTTACAATCGTTTTTTAAAATTTTTTAGATTCAAAAAGCTCAACAAGATTCGTATTGGAAGGTACAGTAATCCAAATTAACTTTTTCGCAAAAAATCTACTGGAATGCGAAAAATTATTTACCTTTTTCTCATTTGGGCAAAATATGCCCTTATTGTCTTTTTCAAATCTTTATTTACCTCGAGCCAGCCTCATTTTACAGATTAAAAATCCTACCAAAGCGCGAAATCAACGTCATTACCAGAAAACGCTAGAAGATATGCGTTCTTTTCGACCCTCTCTTCTTCTCTTCCATCGCAATTTTCTCTCTTCTCTCTCGACCCAAAGAGGAACCCATTTCAATTGCCGCGCGCTTTTCTGATGAGCTCCCAGAAAGGGTTTGATCCGGTATCTCTGGGGTCCATGCATCCTCAAACGGACAAATCTTTCGCCTTTTACTAAAGATTTCCGTGCATGGGCTCGCTTATGAGTTCAGAAAATTTTTGGAAGTCCAGTCGATAGATTGGACTGATATTACAACAGTGGATGTGCAGGTCAATCCAAAATAGAAGAAAAAATTTCCCGCCTTTTTTTGGTGATTCGTTCAAAACGAAATGTCACTACCCGATAAAACGTATTTTCTTATCTTTCTTCTTCCTTTTCGGGGAAAAGCAATTAATATTTTGGGCGAGAAAAATAGCCGATAATTTCGCGACATTTCGTCTCTCTTTTAAATCAATGGAAGTTCCGAAACGGTTCAGGAAATGCGCTAGATTGGCGTGATTGTGGATGGGCGTATTTTACAAAATTATCTTTTATGTGAACAAATCTTTTTGCAGAAATATCTTAGACGCACGTCGTAAGTCCTTATTCCCTTTAAACTTCAGAAATCAAATACCAACTTGCAGATTCTAATGCAATCTCGGTTCGAATCAGGAGAAAATTCAACAAGGTTAAGCCGCAATTACCTTATTAGGAGGTGTTTACAATTCGAATGGTCTCCCTAAAACAATAATTTTGAGATTTCATTACTGAAGCAGCACTAAAATACAGGATGGGAGAGCAAATGGAAACAAGATTGCAAAGCCTGTCCTGCGAGATTAATTTGATTCTTTTGTGTTTTTAGTTTATGACTAATTTGGGCTACAGTGTTTATATACGATAATATAGGCTATGGATAAAGAAAATCAAGTTTGGGAAAATTTGACTTACGATTAAATAAATTTACAAGGTTTCAAAGGAGTCAACCTTACTAAAATTTTATGAAATTTTAAAATACGAAGGAACTTCCCAAAGGACCATTTTGTAAATAATCCCATTCATAATACGAAACGTATTTTTATTGTCAGTCCAACATAAAAAATTCCAGCTTTTAGTAGACTAAAAAACTCAACAAATTTTGTAAAAGACGATGATTCCAATTACTATCAGTCCAGTCTATCGAATGGACTTCCAAAAATTTTTTGAACTCATAAGCGAGCCCATGCACGGAAATCTTTAGTAAAAGGCGAAAGATTTGTCCGTTTGAGGATGCATGGACCCCAGAGATGTTAGATCACACCCTTTCTTGAAGCTCATCAGAAAAGAGCGCGACAATTGAAATGAGTTCTTCTTTGGAGCGAGAGAGAAGAGAGCAAATCGCAGTGGAAGAGAAGAAGAGAGGGTCATAAAGAACGCATATTTTTTCCGTTTTCTGCCGATGACGTTGATTTCGGGCTTTGGTAGATTTTGGATTTGATAACGAGGTTGACTCGAGGTAATTTGAGGTTTGAAAAACATAGTAAGGACATAAATTTAGCCAAATTATCAAAAAAAAATCAATAATTTTTCGGTTTTCGTTGATTTTTTCGCAAAAAATGCAATTTGGATTACTGTAACATCCAATTTGAATCCTTTTGAGCCTTTTGAACCAAAAAAAAGAAAAAAAAACTTTTAAATTTTCCAATATCCTCCTTGTCATTATCTCCGCCCTAAAATTATTCATAAAAAGAGCCGTGAAAAGTGCAAATTG